CTAATACAATGCATTTTAGAGACAAACAGGGCTTAAAAGAAACCTTAAGCTTTATTCAGTAGTCTTATGGCTAATAGTGATATCAGTAATATATAAAAATTTTTATATCTCACAGAATAAATATGTTAATATTGTTGGGTTTGGGGGGCGCCTGGGTGGCTCCGTCAGTTAAGTGTTTGACTTTTTTTTTTTAAGATTTTATTTATTTGACAGAGACACACAGCGAGAGAAGGAACATAAGCAGGGGGAGTGGGAGAGGGAGAAGCAGGCTTCCCGTGGAGCCGGGACCCCGATGTGGGGCTCGATCCCAGGACCCTGGGATCATGACCTGAGCCGAAGGCAGATGCTTAATGACTGAGCCACCCAGGCGCCCCAAGTGTTTGACTCCTGATTTCAGCTCAGGTCACCATCTCAGGGTCGTGAGATCAAGCCCTTCATCAGGCTCCATGCTCAGGGGGAGTCTGCTTCTCTTCTCTCTCTCTCTGCCCTGCCCCCCACCCCGATTCACGGGCATGCTCTCTCTCTCTAAAATAAATAAAAGGATCTTAAAAAAAAATATTGGTGGGTTTTCAATCTGGGAGAAAGAAATGTAATATCATATTGCAGCTAAAGATTCTGTAAGTTTGAATTGAAAAATGTTTTACAATTTTTTCCTCTTAAAAATTCATATATCCTAGTCCTGTCCACTAAAATACCTAGATACAAAGACAAAGAATGAGCACCACCAGTGTCTAAATTGGTCATTTCTAAATACCATCTCCATGTCTTGGGCTCACTGAAGGAATGGCATGCTAGTTCAAGGTCTTGGGCCTGAAATGTACATGATGCACCTAGGTCATCTTGTTGAGGCACAGAAAAGCCTCAAAGACTAACGAGGACTGCTAGTGGAGTTTCTTCTTGGAGCGATGAAATGTTCTGTAATCAGGTAAGTGCTGCTGGCTGCACAGTTATGTGAATATACTAAAAACCACTCGTACATGTGGTTTTTTATGGTATGTGAACTATACTTTACTAAATTGTTATTAAAATGTTAAAGTATTTTTAATAACAAAAATGGGATGGGAACCACCATCATGACTGCTGTGCAGGCCGCAGGAATCATGATTGACCATGAGTCATGGGAAGTATCCCTCAATTGATGGGGATAGAGAATCAGCTAGTGAAGAGTTTCATTAAATGGAGCAACTCTGGATTCCAGGAAGAGGGATATGGCTAATACCAGCGTGTACTGAGCACACTGTCACAATACAGGTTTTCAACGGGCAAAACCTTGCCAGTATATAATGTAAATCTCAGAGAATTGGAAAATTACGAAAAAAATCCACTAAGACATAGAATGGAGCATAAAGAACACGAAAAAAATGCTGAATGCAAAAAGCAGATTTTTCAAGCAAAACACGTAGTCAGGAATCCAGTGTTTTTACGAAAGTATTCCAGCATCATCCAAACAGGCATGGGCCATAAAAGAGCTACGTGCTCTGGGAAAAGACTTAGAGGTTTTTTGTTTTTTTTTCAAACATACTGGAAAACATGCTGAAAGAGTTGAGATGAAAACAATACCATGTCCATGGACTTCAGCAACCTTCATCAAAACGACGGCAAGCTCTCAGAGGGGGAAAAAGTTCAAACAGGCATGCACATAGATTGCGGGCATGCACATTATCGACAGGCTAATGTCTCAAAATCCTCGCGACTACGATAGTGCCATGATCTTACTGCGTTTAGAATTTGCTTTGCTCCTGGGGCCGCCTGGGTGGCTCAGTCGGTTGGGCGGCTGACTCTTGATTTCGGCTCAGGTCATGATCTCGGAATCCGGGGATCGAGCCCCACGTCAGACTACAGGCTCAGCAGGGAATCTGCTTGAGATTTTCTCCCTCTCCCTGTGCCCCTCCCCCCACTCATGCACGCTCACTCTCTAAAATAAACAAATCTTAAAAAAAAAAAAGAATTTGCTTTGCTCCTGGATAGTGTCTCTGCAGAAAAATTCTTCCCTTTGAAATATTGACATGTTTCTGTAGTCATGTCTCTTGAAAAAAAAAAATGGACAACGGTTTCAGTAATGATTTGAGTTTATTAAAAAGGCTTTTTTTCTAGAGCGCCTGGATGGCTCAGTTGGTTGAGCATCAGATTCTTGGTTTTTGCTTGGGTCATGATCTCAGGGTTGTGGGATCGAGCCCTGCATTGAGCCCTGCACTGGGCTCTGGGCTCAGTGGGGAGTCTGCTTAAGATTTTCTCCCTCTCCCTGTCCCTCTGCCCCTCCCCCTGCTTGTGTGCTCTCTCTCTAAAATAAATAAACCTTTTTAAAAAATGCTTTTAGGGCGCCTGGGTGGCTCAGTTGGTTAAGCAACTGCCTTCGGCTCAGGTCATGATCCTGGAGTCCCGGGATCGAGTCCCACA